CCCCAAAACCCCAAAACCCCAAAACCCCGAATTAGACTGGATTTTCATAATCTACGATTGCAAATAAAGTATATTATACATATCTATTTTATCGTGATTAAAGGATCTTAAAGATTAAGATACAAAAATATGTACTTTGATTGATTTATGAATTAGATGAATATTAAGGGATGATGCAAGGATCTTTCTTGCGATCCTTTGTATGGATAATGTTACTCAAGGAGCTTATCCGTTTATGAAGCTGAAGATTAAGTGGTATGTCTCTTGTCTCTTCCATTGAGGAGCCATGTGGCCAGTACCGTGAATTGAAGCGAAGGTGAAGTTACCCTCTCTTGATTCTGTGAATCCAGCAACTACTCTGAAGCCATCATTCTTATAAACGTAGTATGGTCTGTATTGCTCAGTAATGTTCCAGTTCAAGTCATTGATCCACTTAAGAGTTCCAAGAGTTGGAACAGCACCATCAGTATCTCCAGAATATTTAAGCATTCTGTACTTGCCCTTTAGTTTAGGGTAAATGTCAACAGAACCGTTCAATCCAGAGTTGTAGTTGATCATGGAACAAAGGTCCCATGAAGTGGAGTTCTCATAGATATTAAGTTGACTTTTGACTTATGGATTGTTAAGATAAGCAATTATGGGGTCTCCGAATACACATGGTGGTGACTCTTTGAGAGATTTCTTGCCAGCAAAATTTCTGTTCAAGAATGGAGTGTAGTCAGCAGCAGTAAAGTATTTCTTGTAAGATGGCTCTTCAAGACCGCTTTGAAGGAAGCCAGTCTGTCTGAAGCTTTCATATTGTTAGAAGGTTTAGCTTTAGTTTCCAATGTAGCATTGACCATAGACATCATAAACATTCAACTCTTAAGTCTAGGTATTGAAATCTTCAAAGGCTTAGTTACATTCTGCTGAAAGATTGAATGTTGGGTTAACTCCGAAGTAGGAGAAGTCGCATTGCATCAGTCTATCATAAAGATCTCTCTTGATAAGTCCGTGCCACACTGACATCTCAATGAAAGCTGGAACAGTGTCGTATCTCCAGTCGGTTACACCATTACCTACCATGAATCCTTTAAAGTTTGGCTTATAGACATCAGTTCTGTTCTCATTATCTGTTAAATAGGCATCGATTCTTTCAGCAAGTTTTGGAACATAGATACCGGCGTAGGATTCACCAGCAAGATATAAATCGTTGTGTTGAAGCTCTGGGAATTTCTAGAGAAGAGTAAGGACTGCTTGAAGGTTATCATCAGCTGAGTTATCATCATCGAAATTGCACTCACTTTAATCTGGGCAGACTGAATATCCGACACCAGCTGGGCTCTCAATGTAGAACATATTAGCCTCTCTGTTCCAAGAATATGGGTTTTATTTGAATTCAGTAGCACCGTCATCTAAAACAACAGGGCCGTGTTCTTGCAAGAAACCAAGCATAGAGGAGCAACCTGGACCACCATTGAACCAGATGATTACTGGATCGTTTGCTTGGTCTCTCTGACTCATAACTCCCATATAATGAAGTTACTTTGAAGAGTTGTTGACTGGAAGGTAACCGGAGTATAATCCGAAGGTAAGTTAAGGCCAGTTCAAGAGTTCATGTACTCTATCAACCTCTGGATAAGCATTGGCAACTGAAGCAAGGCCGACCATTGCAATGGCAGCTATTGACTTGAACATTTTAGATATGAAATTATAATAATTATTTTGCTGGATAATTTTTTATCTTTCCATATTTACTATGCAATATCCTTCTTTTAGGGGTTTTGGGGTTTTGGGGGGGAGGAACATCGG